AGAAAAGGGAGCATTATGATTTCAGCAGAAGAAATAAAGGAAAATAGAGTTGTCTTGTTTGAAATGGAAGCTAGAAAACTGGATAATAAGGATCTGTTTGGAAAGTCAGACCCATATATGGAGTTTTATAAGCAGACACCTGATGGAAGCTGGCTAATGGTTCATTGAACAGAGGTTATTAAAAACAACTTGCGGGGGCTGGAGATTTAGCTCAGTGGTGCCACCACCTGCCTCGCAGCAAGTGCAAGGTCCTGAGTTTGATCCCTGGTACCAAAAAAAAAAAAAAAAAAAAAAAATTTAGGGCCAGGGATTTAACTCAATGGTTATGCTGCCTGTTTTGAAAACGCAAGGACCTGAGTTCGATCCCTGGTATCAAAACAAAAATTCTTAGAAACCTTATAGCTTTGTAATTATGCAGTTTCTGTCATCAATAAAACAACTTGAAGAAAAAAAAAAATAAAAGCAACTTGAATCCTGTTTGGAAGCCTTTTAAAATCTCTCTTAACTCCCTGTGCTATGGAGGTATGGACAAAACCATTAAGGTAGTTTTATGATTATGACAATGATGGGTCACATGATCTCAAACTACCATGACAAAACTGAAAGAAACCTCCAGAAACTCACCTATTGAATATGAACACATAAATGAAAAAAAGGAGCAAAAGAACGGCTGTAAGAATTCAGGTGTTATCAGTGTGAAACACTGTAAGAGCACAGTGGAATGCATATTGCTTGACTACATCATGGGAGGATGTCAGGTGAATTTTACTGTGAGAGTGGATTTCACTGGCTCCAATGGTGACCCCAGGTCTCTGGACTCCCTTCATTACATCAGCCCCAATGGCGTTAGTGAGTATCTGACTGCCATCTGGTCTGTGGGGCTGGTTATTCAAGATTATGATGCTGATAAATTGTTTCCTGCTTTTGGTTTTGGAGCTCAGATACCTCCTCAGTGGCAGGTATCTCATGAATTTCCAATGAACTTTAACCTACTGTAATGGAATCCAAGGCATTGTAGAGGCATACTGGGCCCATCTTCCTCAGATAAAGCTCTATGGGCCAACTAACTTTTCTCCAATCATAAATCATGTGGTCAGGTTTGCAGCTGCAGTCACACAACAGCAGACAGCTTCTCAATATTTTGTGCTCTTGATCATTACTGATGGTGGGATCACAGACCTTGATGAAACCAGACAAGGTATTGTTAATGCTGCCAAGCTGCCCGTGTCCATCATCATTGTTGGAGTTGGAGGAGCTGACTTTAGTGCCATGGAATTTCTGGATGGTGATGGGGAAAGTCTCCGCTCCCCAAGCAGTGAGGTGGCTGTCAGAGATACTGTCCAGTTTGTGCCTTTCAGACAGTTGCAGAATGCTCCAAAAGAAGCACCTGCTCAGTGTGTCTTGGTGGAGATTCTCCAGCATGTAGGCTACTTCAACACGTACAAACTCCTTTCTCCCAGGAACACAGGTATGAAATAAAAGGAGCTGTTACTTCAACAGAATTCTTATGCTGCTGGGAAACAATACCATGTCTTACATAAAATCATGTATCTGTCATTTTTTTTACATTTCATCCCCTGCATTTACGATGTAAACCTGGTTCTTTACGGCTTTTATCTGTTTAAAGCATATATTTTTTTGAGAACAGTGCCAACTCCATTTTTGCCAATCAATCCAGTGATTGCTAGTAATTTACAGTAATTGCAGTGAGGTTGTTTGGATGAGAACCTAGTGTGGGGAAAACTGATTTTTGTTTGCTTTTGTATGATGAGAATGCCATTTAAAATGTCAGAACTAAAAATTGTTGAGATGAAGTATTTTGCAGGTTGCTATACTTTGTATGTAGTAAATGTTTTACAAGCCTATGTTCATACTATTGATTGAGAAAGCTTCTTAAGTTAGACAGTATTGAATTTGCTCCTGTATCTCTATATTCAATCCTTTTTCCTTGAAGTAAAAACTACCTTTACTTGGCACCTGATTTTTTGTGCACTTTAGGTGCTGCACAGTTACAAAGCATCTTGCACTCACATGGGATTTGTTGAAAAGGAAATTACTCAGTTTTTAAAATATACAATCAACAAGTAAAAAGAATCTCATGTAAGTATGCCACCTTTCTAGATTTTAATTTTTTTGTATAATACTGTAAACATGGTCAGAATTGACCTTTCATTGATTGAATGTGATACTAAGGATTCTGTGGATGCACAGATTGTAGGTGCATAGGTTGTCTCAGATTCTACCTTATTAGTTTATTTTGAGGTTTGTTCACTAAAATGCTTAAGATTGCTTTGTTCAGGGATGCTATGAGGACCAAACATATAAAGTGAAAATTCATAATTCCATTTTCTCTAATAAATGACTTATTAAAAAAAAAAGACCAATTAGGCACAATTGCCCAAATCTAAGATAAAGTTTTCCATTGCTTTTGGATACATGGAATTACTATTAGTAAGAGATAGTATTTAGCTGTGATACATATGCCTACGTATAATATTTTATTTAACATTTACTAACCTTCCCTGCAAGGTAAGAATCATTCCCATTTTCCTAAGGGCAACCAAGTTATACAGCCATCAGTAGGAAATCCTCCACCTTTTGACTCTGGTGTGTGGTTTCCAATGATAGGATATAATGTATCTCCTAGAAGAATCTGAGATTGAGAGACACTATCTAAAGGAAACTATGTTATGTTGAGAGCAGTACAGGTCATGGCCCAAGTCTCTTCACATATAGTCTTTTTTTTTTTGGTACCGGGGATTGAACTCGGAACCTTGCGCTTGTGAGGTAGGTGGCTTCACACACAGTCTTAATTAAAATTTCAAAAGTGAACAGAAAAGTAATTTTAAAAGAAAGTTTCCACAGGGGATTTAGCTCAGTGGTACCCCGCCTGCTCTGGAAGCCCAAGGTCCTGAGTTCGATCCCTGGTACTGGAAAAAAGAGAAAAAAAGAAGAAAGTTTCCAAATTTAAAGTCAGAAGGGGAGTAAGGAATGAACTGACCAATGAGTTGGCCATAAAGTCAAGAGTGGCTACAGCTTTGGATCTAGCACTTGCCTTCCTCAATCCTCATTGGCTAAAGAGTGTTACTTTAAAGATCACTTCATTAAACTTTGTGATAAATTACTTAAATGTTTATAAATACCTAACACCAACTTTAAAATCGAAGCTTTTCAATTCCTGTAATTCTCAGCTCCTGTTTAGATTTATTAATCATGTCTTGCACTAGGGGCACAATTTCTCCTGTTATCTGAGAAATTATTTCTGATTTCATTTTTTCCAGATCCCCTTTTGTTGCCAGTTCAGTGGGTCCAGGTGGTTGAGTATCAGAGTGTTCCATCTCATTTCCCTTTGGGGTTGCTGTAGGTGATCTGGAAGTCTGGTTTTGAGACTTATTTACATGTTTTCTCCTTTCTACTGGGGCAGGGGGCTCTTAGCGCCTACAAGGATTACCTCCTCTGAGCTGGGTGAGGTGGGACAGGGGCCGGGAGCAGCGGTAGGGATGGTGACCCAAAAGCCCTTTCCTGTGGGCTGGGAGCAGCGGGAGGGATGGTGGCCGGGAAGCCCCTTCCTCTGGACCAGGAGCAGTGGGATGGTGGCTCAGAAGCCCCTCCCTCTGGGCCGGGAGCTGTGGGAGGGATGGTGGCCTGGAAGCCCCTTCCTCTTGGCCAGGAGCAGCGGGACAGAAGATGGGCCAAAAGCCCTTTCCTCTGGGCTGGGAGCAGCGGGAGGGATGGTGACCGGGAAGCTCCTTCCTCTGGACCAGGAGCAGTGGGATGATGGCTCAGAAGCCCCTACCTCTGGGCCGGGAACAGTGGGACTCAGTACCTTGGTCTGGTGGTCTGGTGTCCTCTGCGTCTTTACAGTCAATTCCTGTAATTCTCAAGGACGTAAAGCAATGAGATTTTAGGTAATAGGTAAGGAAACAGAATCACCAATAAGGAGACTATCATTCACAGCAAGGCAGAAATTTGCTGAGGATGAAAATGCAGCCTGGTGCCCTGCACTAATTCTTTGTATATGACTTAATATTTTAAAATATCCTGGTCTCCATATCTGCCATTATTAAAATAACCCATACTTACTTTACAGATGCGTTCCTAACAGGTTATATAACGTGGTCATCTAAGTTTTAACTAGATTTTGGAGTTAATTAAAACCCTGGGTTCAAATGCAGTCTTGTCGCCTGCTGGGGAGCTTTAATGAAAATTCATCTACAAATGGGATGAATTTTTGAAATAAATTTCCACAACTGAGGGCAGCTGTACAGTCCCAACAAATCTTAGCTAGAAGTTTTTTTAAAGGGGATCAATAAATTTTCTACTAAATTCTTTAAGGCAAAAAGTTATTTCAATTTCAGTGAGTTCGGACATTTTGCTCTGATTTTAATGAATCGTGACAACAGGTTGAGCTATTTGCAAGTCGTGAAACCAGCTCCTCTGAGCTACTGCTAGACCCTGGGCTGTAGCGCTTACGGCGCAGGGACGACGTGCAATCGGACTGCTGCCTCCCGCGCGAGCAGTCCATCGCCTCAGGACGCGTGTTTCTCGGCCTCCAGGGAGGTGCACAACACGCAGCTCTCCGGGAGAAGCCGAAACCGGCCCTGAGCTCGGAAGAAGCTACCAGAGCCACGCACTCGGCAGCTGGGTCTCCGCCGGGGCTGGGCGGGTCCAGGCCAGGCCGCCCGAGCCCGCCGGCGGCCGTTGGGACGTTGACTTTTGAATTTCCCTGTGCCCCAGCGCGCAGGCAGCGCGGACCCGCCCCAGAAACCACCAGCTTTTCCCGCCACTCGAAAGCTCCGCCCCCAGAGTCCCAAGGGGTGACGAGAGGCCGGGTGGGAGCAGCGCTCGGACTTCGTTCGGCCAGGCCACGCCCAGCGGCGCGCGGAGCGACGGTTGCCGGAGTGCCCGAGTTTGAATGTACTGGGCCTCCTTATTGGTCAGCGGAGATCACGTGGTTCCCGCCATGTTGGTGAGCTTAGCCCAGCCCTCGCCGCCTCCGCCCCCCGCCCGCTCCGCCTCTCGCATCCGCCACTCCGAGCAGCCCAAGCGGAAACAAAGTGCTGCGGGCGGGAGCCTCGGCGGCGGCGGCGGCTGGGCGGACCTTGCTGGGCCTCCCGTCCCGCTCGCTTCGCCTTTTCCCGCGCGCGCGCGCGTGAGCGAGTGTGAGTGCGCGTGCTTCCTCACAAAGGGCATTGTATGACCGATCGATCGGCTCGCGGCCCGCCCCCGCTGCCCTTTGTGCTGTGACCCGCGGCCACCGTCCCGGTGCCACCCTCCCCAGGCTTCCCGCCGATCGCCCGCCATGGCCACCGCGACCCCCGTGCCGCTGCGGCCGGGCAGCCGCGCAGGCGGCCCCGCCACGCCGCTGAGCCCCACGCGGCTGTCGCGGCTGCAGGAGAAAGAAGAGCTGCGCGAGCTCAACGACCGGCTGGCCGTGTACATCGACAAGGTGCGCAGCCTGGAGACGGAGAACAGCGCGCTGCAGCTGCAGGTGACGGAGCGCGAGGAGGTGCGCGGCCGCGAGCTCACGGGACTCAAGGCGCTCTACGAGACGGAGCTGGCCGACGCGCGCCGCGCGCTTGACGACACGGCCCGCGAGCGCGCCAAGCTGCAGATTGAGCTAGGCAAGTGCAAGGCCGAGCACGACCAGCTGCTCCTCAAGTGAGTGTCCGGCTCCGGCGGCCAAGTGGGGCACCGGGAGGCCGGGGCGCCCCGGGGATCCGCCGGGGGTAGTGCGGAGGCCGGCTGCCCGCGCCCCTCCGGATCGGAGGGTCCCCAGGAAGGGAAGAACCCCGTGTTTCCCAGCGGGGCAGGGCCGCCCGAGGGCGCGAGTCGTTAGCGGGCCACGGTGCTCATTTCCAGGCCCGGGGGGTACAGCAGAGTGTGCGCCTCGGGCTGCAGAGGAAGAGCGCGGGCTGGGGACCCCAGGATCCAGAGCCGTTCTCCCGCGCCGCGGCTGCCGGGCAGGCCCAGGTGCGTGGAGCTAGCGCTGGGCGCGCGCTCGGGGGCGCGCCCCGGTTTCCGGCGGCTGGAGACAAAGCGTCTGGTGGGTTTGCGGAACCGCGGTGGTGGGCCGGGGAGGACGCGCTGCCCGCCGCGAGAATGAATGGGCTGTACGCGCGGGGAGGAAGGGGAGGGACCCGCTCGGAGCGTCCGCGTCTCCCGGGGGTGGGTCCTGCTTTGGCGCGCTCAGTCCTGGCCCTGTGACATTTTGCTGTCGCTCTGCGCCTGCTTTGGACCCGGAGGGAAGGGCGGGGCCTGAGTAGCCCGCCTGCTGCCTGCCCCGGGAGGGTTAGGTTTCCCCAGATCGTTAGCTTCCTCTGAGGAGGTGCCCAGTCTTTTGTGGAGACAGGTGCAGGTGCTGGCGTGCTTTTACTCACCGGGCTCCCAAAGACAGGTTTGCGTCTCGACAGGCCACAGTTGTCCAAGTTGCTCTCGCTCACCTCCAGCATCAGCCCCTTCCTCCACCCCGCTTTGGCCTCGGGTGGTGTAGTCGGCTTGTCTCTTACATACCGCCAGCAGCCACCCCCTCCCGCCCACCGCGTTTGTCCTTTTGCTGTCCATAGGCCAGAACAGGCAGGTGAGAGAGTGCCCAGTAAATGTCGAGTGCTTCAGTGAGGAAGAGCTTGCAGTTCCACCCAAAAAGGAGGCAGAGTTTTCACTCCGTGGCAGAAAGATAAATTTTCAAACCTTTTCCACTTTTCCTTGATTTTCTAATGATCAAAATGGCCAAACTGTCAGCAGTAGGCAAAGAAGTGCTGATGATACTGGTTAGAGAGTTGCTAAATATTTGAGTCCAGAATTCATTCTTTCCCTTGCCACTGCCCTTAGAATTTCTGGAGTTGCCTGATTCTGACTTTGCCCTTGGATGTCTTTCTATTTGTATCTGTGTGAATTTTCCTCTCTCTGTCTCTGTGTGATTATGGATTTCTATTTCCTCTTATCACGTATTTAAAAGGGGTTCATAAAAAAGTGTATGAGTGCCGTTCGTGGTGGTGCACACCACGGGAGGCTGAGGGAGGAGGATCCTTGAGAGTTAAGAGGCCAGTCTAGTCTAGGCTATATGGTGAGTTCAAGGCCAGCCTGAACTGCATAGCGAGACCCTGTCTCCAAAAAAAAGTGTGTGTGGTAAAAGTAAAATAGTATAGGCTGCCACACAATGACAAATATTTACTACCCCGTCCTTATTCTTCTTGCGACAAGTCTCACTATGTTGCCTGGAGTGGTCTTGAATTCCTGGGCTCAAATGTTGCCCCCTTAACCTCCAGAGTAGCTGGAAACTGGAAGTGTGCGCCACTGCAACTGGTTTATTGTGCCTTTTGAGGAGGCAATTACGTTTATCTCTTTTTGTTCTCAGGAATTTAGTTCCATAACTTGAAAGTAGTACTAAGCATATATATGTGGGGTTTGTTTTCTTTGAGACAGCGTCTGTCTTCATTCCCAAGCTGCCACAGCCTCCTGAGTGCTAGTACATTAGGCATGTGGCTGTCACTAGCCTTAAACGTGTGTTTGTGTTTCTTGAATTTATTATCACTTAGAATCATATTTTGATTGTTGTTAATCTTACTCCCATTTTTTTGTTGTTTTGTTTTTTGAGATAATGTCTCACTATGTAGTTCAGGGTGGCCACCAACCCGTAATCTTCCTGCTTCAGCCTCCTAAGTGCTGGGATTACAGGTGGGTGCCACCCACCATGCCTGGCTCTCCAAATTTTTTATTACTGAGCTTCTTCAAATCTTAGGAGTCATTGCTTGTAGACTTGATGCTATTATATATACCACTAAGAAGGCAAAAATTACAGCCAGCTGTGTACAGTCCATTCTCTGTCTCATCCACTTTCCGGGATGTTAAAATGTGATACAGATTAAATGTCTGGTATGTAATGGCGTTAGGTGCATAGAAATAAAGATATTAAAAGAAAATTAATGCCTGACATTGGCTGCTGTGGGAGAGATAGCCAGAAAGCAAATAAAAATTGTCTTTTGTCTAATCTGAGGCATTTTGATGGTGCTTTTATAAGTTGTCCACTGAAAAAAATTTTTTCTACTGAAAGTTTTTTACACAAGGCTGCCACCTGGCTGACAGTAGTTGCAAATGTTTCAGACTGTAAAATACAGTACATGCTGGTTTCAGCAGGATTAAAGTGAAAATGTGGGTGTTAGAATCAGTGATGTAGTAATATATGTGATGCTGCAGGACTCAAAATAAAGAAAAAAGAATAGTGTAATCAAGGAAGGCCTGTCTCAAGGGTTGACAATTGAAAATAATATTCTCTGAAGTATGAAGTTGTGTTCTAGGATTTTCTTTCTAAGTCTCTTAATGTTAGGGTTAAGTTAAGTTAATGTTAATGTTAAATTAAGTTAAAGTTAAGTTAAGTTAAGTTAATGTTAATGTTAAGTTAAGTTAAAGTTAAGTTAAGTTAGGGTTAATGTTAAGTCTCTTAGAGTTAGGGTCAGCTGTATTCCCTTTTTTTTTTTTTAAACATATCATTAATTGCTCAAACCATGTCACACTTTATTTAGACTAATACATAATTTGTACAATTTTGTTCCCAAAGAATTTTCATTTTCTTTTCTGTTTAAAATTAGCCCTTAACATATCTAAACTTTTTGAAGATACCAAATTATAATATCTTGAGTTTGCTTACTTCCCTTAGTTCTTTGCTTTTAAGATACGTTGTACATGTTACCTTTCTTTAGGTTTCTTCATTTTGTTGAAGAGCATTTCTTTCCTTTTTGAAAGTCTTGCTGGGTAGTTCAGGCTGGCCTTGAATTCACTATGTATCCCGGGCTGCCCTGGAACTTGTGGGATCTTTCTGCCTCAGCCTCCTGAGTGCTGAAATTACAGGGATACAACACTGCTCCAGGTTGTTGAAGAACATTCTTAAGAATTTATTCAGAGCGGACGAGGTGGTGCAAGTATGTAATTCCAGCACTCAGGATGCTAAGGAAGGAGCATCAGTGTGAATTTGAGGCCAGCCTGGATGGCATAGTAAGACCCTGTCTCAAAAAAAAAAAAAAAATCCAGAAAGAATGGCAGGAAATAAACTTTCTGATCCCATGTTTCTGAAAGTAATTGTTTTGTCTCATGCCTGATTGATAGTTGTGCTGGATATAGAATGCTATTTAACATTTTGTTAGTACTTGGAAAATGTCAATTTTGTTTCATTGTCTTCTAGTATTAAGTGTTTCATTTAATGTTAATTTGTTCTTGTCTATTGTTCATAGTTGTGCGGCCCCCCCTCAAAGCCTTTGGGGATTTTTTTATCTTAGTCTTCTGAAATTGCATGCTTACAGGTCTTGTGGATACTTTGTGATTCGTTTTGTTTGTTAAAAATGGGTCTTTTCAATTTGAAGACTTTGAAAAAGAATTTAGCTCTCAGGGGCTTATTTTATTCCATACCTTTTCTGTGCTCTATTTTCTTTTTGCACTGGGGATTGAACCCAGGACCTTGACCCTGAGCTTACATACCAACATCACCCCCCCCCCCCCCATTTTACTTTTTATTTTGAGATAATATTTAAGTTACTGAGTTGCCCCAGATTGGGTTTGATTTCGTGATCCTTCCTCTTTGCCTCCCAGAGTGCTGGGAATTCAGGCTTGTACCGCCATGCCTGGTTCATGGTGGGAAATTATATATATATTTTTTTGTTTAGTATTTTTTTTTTTGTATTAAAGTCTTTTATTGGTACATT